AGGGGCCTTAATAATGAGAATAGAGTTTCGGGCTTCTTTTATAGTATTGTTATAATAAGGAACCCTTATAAGGAATAATATAGGCAATTTTCTGGGCTGCTATATGATGCCTATACACAGAATATGAAGACCCCTACAGCTTGAGGATGCTTGAGGTGTGCTGCTGGATTAAAGGGTACTGGGCGCTCCGGTTTAGGGTATAGGGTTTAGGGTATAGGGTTTAGGGTTTAGGCTTTAGGCTTTAGGCTTTAGGGTTTAGGGTTCCGGACACGCAGTCACAGAACCCTGCAGAGCCAGTTTAAAAAATGCCTTACAAGAACCCACGGCCTGTCGTTAACCCTTAACCCTCAAGCCCCCTAATGCCCAATACCCCAAGCCCTAAACCCTCAACCAAAAACCCTAAACTCTAAAGCCTGAACCCCAAAACCCTAAGCCCCGAAACCCTAAAACCCAAAACCCTTAACCCCAAACTCTAAAGCCTGAGCCCCAAAACCCTAAGCCCTTACACCCGAAACCAGAAACCCTAAACCCCTGAAGCCCCTGAAACCCCTAAAGCCCTAAACCCCGAAACCCAAAACCCCAAAAAACCCAAAATCCAAAGCCCTTACACCCGAAACCAGAAACCCTAAACCCTTGAAGCCCCTGAAACCCCTAAAGCCCTAAACCCCGAAACCCAAAACCCCAAAAACCCCAAAACCCTTAACCCTAAACTCTAAAGCCTGAACCCCAAAACCCCAAACCCTAAGCCCTTAACCCCAAACTCTAAAGCCTGAACCCCAAAACCCTAAACTCTAAAGCCTGAACCCCAAAGCCCTAAACCCTAAACTCTACACCCTAAAACCCCAAAGCCCTAAACCCTAAGCTCTTTTCCTTGCTTCGCGACAGGCCCGCGCCAGGTTGAAGCCAAGTGCTTACGACCGCGCCTTGAAGAAGGAGCCGCCGGAGCCGCCATGCTTTAGGTTTGAGGTCTTTGGGCCAATAATTAGAATAGGTTTAATTTAGGGTTTAAGGTTTAGGGTTTGGGGTTTAGGGTTTAGGGTATAGGGTTTGGGGTTTAGGGTGTAGGGTTTAGGGTTTAGGGTTGAATGTAGGAGCCTTAATAACTAGAATAGGTTTTGGGGTAAACTATCCTGTAGGCATAACAAGGAATCTGCCCAAAATAGTATAGGTAGTTATTAATTTATTAAGGACCCCATCCCTAAACCCTAAACCCTAAACCCTAAACCCTAAACCCTATATTAGGGTTTAGGGTCTAGGGATTGAGCTTAGGCCTTCCGGGGTTACAAGGGGAAAGAGCAAGTTCAGATCTATTTTGGTGTTGCTTTTGTGCGTTTCTCAGGTCCTTTTATAGGATTCACCAGGTTTTTGATCATTTTGCTTGTATTTGGGGTATCAATGGGTATAGGATCCTCCTCTTCAGGCGTGGCGTTCGACTTTGACTGGGCTTCGCTTCGCGATAAGGGTTGGCAGGGCTTGGGGCGGTGTTACCTGGAAGCGCCTTGGACTTAGTCATTTATGTCCCCAAATAGCGCCCAAAACAACCCATCTCACTGACCCTGCTTGCTCTGTCGACTGTACAGGAAGGGTGTTGGCACAATTTGGAGTTTGGGGTACACTATAAACCCCAATTTGGCGCCACTTCTTAAACCTAAGCTATTCTAACGCCAGAAATTGGCCTCTTGCGGGCTACACGCGGCCAAGGTCCCCCTCCAGTGCCTTAACGCCTAGAAGAGACTTCTAACTCTGAATGCCTACGCCGTGCAAGGAATCCTTAAATTGCGAAAACAAACTTATCAAGGCCTAGGGCCGAGAAACACCCCATACCTGCGCCCTTCAGGAACCGCTAAAGGGTGCCTATCAAGGTTCCTGCACGGGGGGTTCCTGAAAAGAACCCTGTAGATGGGTACCCAGGGGTCTTATATATAATTCAACGCATCTTCCTTAATGAAAGGGATGTTGGAAGATATGTGTTAGGATCGTCTTATGAAGAATAAGAAGAACACAAGACTAGTAATAATGAAAATAAGAATAACAACAGCACCAACAGTATACTGATATTAAAAAACATCAACGTAGGAGCATCTGTAGATCGGTTCCAAGTTTTAGGTAAACCCTAAACCCTAAACCCTAAACCTTAAACCCATACCCTAAACTGTGAAGCAGGCGAACGCGTGTCCATGCGACCGGCAGGACGAGAACGGTGTTGGATCCTCAGGTCGCACGGTCGTTGGGTTCCTTCAAAGGGTTTAGGGTTTAGGGTTGCATACTAGAATATGTGTATGATATAGAAAAGGTAATGTGACATGATGTAATAAATTATAGCTTAAACTGTTGTATAATAGTGAAGTCGAGTATAGTACAATATAAGATGCTATGGCAGAGCAGAATCAATATGACATCGTATCAGATAACGTAATGTAGTTTATCAGTAAATATCATATAACATAAAAGGAGCCAATTCTGACGTTCCTAAAAGGGTTCCTTTTAAAGGCGGGTTGCTTAAATCAAAAACGGTTTCTCTAAGTGATCCATAAGGGTTCCGCTGCAGGGAACCATCAGGATTAGGTTCGGCTTTAGTGTTTTTGGAGGTTTAGGAAGTAGGGTGTTTGGGCTGAGGAGTTTGGATCCCAGACCCACGGGAGGATCGAAAAAGTAGATCCCTGATGCGAGACCGCATACTACGAAAGTGAACTGTACCTACCTACCTACCTACCTACTTACCTACCTACATACCTACCTACCTACCTACCTACCTACCTACCTACCTACCTACCTACCTACCTACCTACCCACCTACCTACCTACCTTCTTAACTACCTACCTACCTACCTACCTACCTACCTACCTACCTACCTACCTAACTGCCTGCCTACCTACCTACCCACCTCCCTCCCTGCCTACCTACCTGCCTACTTACCTACCTACTTACCTCCCTACCTACCTTACCTACTTACCAACCTTATTTACGTACCTACCTACTTCCCTGCCTGCCTGCTTACCTACCTACCTAGTTCCCTATCTACCTATACCTATCTATCTGCCTGTCTGTCTGTCTGTCTGTCTATCTATAGAAAGAGGGGATTGGTTTTTATTCGATGCACACACAAGCACACAAACCTAAAGCTGCAATATGTATGCCCCTGCTGCCCTGACCAGCCACAGACCGAAACCCCCTTTCCATGAACCCTCAACCTAGGACCAAAACTTTGAAAAGCCCGATATGCCGTAGCTTTGACTTGGACCTTAAATCCAAGATGCTCAGACCCAAAATTTCCAGATTTACCCTGAACCTTCAACACCATGCAGTGAGAAAGGCCATTGTAACACAAAACCTCAGTCCTGCGCCTAAGGCCTTTCAGCGGGTAGTCTTGGACGATGGTCTTCTGCCAGGGGAGCCGATCACCTCCGAGTGCCCACATCATGCTACTTGCCTTTGATTTTCATCATTGCCTGGATTCATTTTAAGAGGAGTGCTGAGAGTGGGGAGTGGTGGGATGTAGGGTTCCTTTAAGAGGAAGCATAACGGTTCACATAACCAGGGATCCAGAAGTTTAGGCTTCTATAGGCTTAAGGATTTGGGGTTCAATGTTTGGGTTTGAGGATTGTTTTTTTGTCGACCAAGGCTTTGGGGAATAAGCTTTGAAGATCGGAATGTGTGCATTGAGATTAGCCCTACAGGCTAATTGACACTGTTTCTACATGCGGAATCTCCCGTACAGTTATGTTCAAATAATTACATGTGTGTGTATATATATATATATGTAAATATGCACACACGCAAGTGTGTGTATACATATATATATACACATATGTGCACTAACACGCATATGTGTATGTATGTATATATACGCACACCTACATGTGTATGTACCTGTATGCGAACGCAATCACTCATTGTTTTGCTCGTTTGTGTGGTGTTGTCTTTTGTTGTTCCTGTTCTGAGGTGCGCTACAGCCGGGATGTGGCCGACAAGGTGAGTTCGGGTAAATGCTCTGGGCCTTCACAGGGGTTACCTGGACCCTAAAGAACCTACCTTTTTAGGGCTGCTTATTATGATTTTGGGGTCAGGGTAACCCTTATAGGAACCCTATAAGTCCCCTACTCCTGTAGTCTTCATTGTAGTTCCTTTTTGGGGATGCCTTATAAGATCCTCAATATATAATTGGTTAAACCAAAAAAGGGAACTACAATGGAGACTACAGTGACTACAGTAAAAACAAGGGGTTATCTGGACCCTAAAGAACCTACCTTTTTGGGGGCTCCTTATTCTGATTT